TACCTGATTTAGAAGGAATGACTTTTTAATCAATATGTAATATGTATTTAACGTCACTACGATTTTTTATTAACTAATTTAATTGCACAATGATGTACATTTTATCATTTAGGTAACATGCAATTAGCATTGATTAAATAATTTATTTTTTTTTGGTACAGGGACCTTTCGGTTTCCAGATCCACAGGGGAACCGACTAATCTGGAATCGAGTCGGGTAGGACCACAAGGGCGATTAAATAATTTATATGCACAATTATGTACACTAGTACAACGCCCGTGTATTACACGGGTGTTTGATGATTTTTTCCTTAAAATCTAAAATTAATGAAAAAAAATAGTTGAAAATTTAAATACCATTTATAAAAATATATGTAGTATTATATATTTAGTACGACACTTTTTATTTGTGCGACTTACATGTGTTATATTATAATAATTTTTTAACTTACAACATATGACTACATCCTCCCTATATATAATTCTCGAATGCGCTGAGCCTACGTGGCTGCTTTTGGTGCTTCGAAATCCTACTTTACGAAAAATCATGTTTCGTAATTAGGTTTAGACAAATAATATTGATATATTAATAATTAATAATCTAGGTTCGGACATTCCATAAATATTAATTAGCTAACTTAGGTATTTTAATATTACTTGTACTAATATAACCCTTTAATTCTTTGTAATTTTACATTGTGAGGCACTAATTGACTAATATATCTCTGACTTTTGATTTGTTTCCTTCAATTAGCTATTGAATTGTAAATGTATTTTAAAAGTTGATAACTTTTGTATTTCTTATCGGTTGTACATATATAATATATCAAATTAATCATCTTTTGATCTCTATCGTTTCGAAAAAAAAATCATCTTTTGATGACCAACATCCATATTGTATATATATGAAATAAATAAATTATATTTTTATAATAATAAAAAATAATAATATTTATTAAAATTCATTAGAAAAATAAAATTATTTCTCAATTGATATATTTTGTTTAATGTAGTTATATGTTGTAAGTTAAAAAAAATATTATAATATAACACATGTAAGTCGCACAAATAAAAAGTATCATACTAAATATATAATAATATATATTTTTATAAAAGATAGTTAAATTTTCAACTACGTTTTTTTTCATTAATAGATTTAAAAAAAATTAGCAAGCACCCGTATAATACACGGGCGTTGTACTAGTTAAACATAATATATGAATTGAGAAATAATTTTATTTTTTCTAATGAATTTTAATATATTACTATTTTTTATTATTATAATGATAAATATAATTTATCTATTTCATGTTTGTCCCATTTTTGTTGCATTTTTTGTTATTATTTTCTCATTCTTTTTCCTCTATTTTGAGTCATTTAGTCGGTTTTAGGTTCATTTTGTCGTTTATTGTGTGTCTTGTGTTGTCTTGAGTGCCCCGGTAATTTTTATGTTTTTTTCTGGTAGTCTTCCATTTGTGTTTTCGTTTTTGGTGTGTAGGTCGGGAGCATCAGGAGAATAGGTTTCTGGGAATTTTTTGGGAAAGTTTACATCATTAGATAGAGGGGTTCGTTAGCTACGCGTAGAAAAAAACGGAATCGAATTCCGAGTCCGAACGAGCGTAAACGAGCCCGAGACGCGAAGAAGGGCGAGCTGCCAGCGCCGCGGTGTGATGCACCTCCGCGGCACGACAGAAGCAGTCCTCGCGCCGTGCTACAGCCACGTTCCCAACAGAGGGCCCAAAGTCCCAGCTCCGCGCCGCGGCAACACCTCACGATGCGGCAATATCACTTCCTCGCGTCGCGCCACGCACACAAGACTAACAGAGAACATCGCACAGCACCCCCTCGCGCGCGCGTCACCTAGCGCGGCGCGACACCAGCGCGCGATGCCCTACACGCCGCGACAGACCTCCCCTCCGCGCCGCGGCACAGCCCCGCGCGGGGCGCCCATTCTTTTCACGCCCGTGACACATGTTCCATATAAATATACGTACGGGACCTCAATCATATTATTCTCCCCTTCTGGGAATGAACCCTAGCTTAGAAAAAGAACATAAAATCTCCTTCTCTTCCCCTCTTTCATCTTCTTCTTCGTTCTTTCTCTTCAATTAATCCTTACTTTCCATTTTTCATCTATGAATTGTTCTTGCTTTTGGGATTAAGCTTGTAATTGATGTTCAACACTTGGATTTGAGATTAATTGTAAGTTTCTTTTCTCTTATGTTTAATTCATGAATAATGATTGAATTGAGAGAATTGATTTATTGTGTTGAATTTATGTTACATAGCTGATTCTTTTGTTAGGGATAGGGGATGATTGATTAGGTTCGATTAATGATTGCTTGTTCTTGATTGCTCATGCCTACTCGAGTTGTTCTTAATCTAGGGTTAGTAGATTGATCACCTTTCTAACCTAATCAATAAACGTGTAGAACCGAGAGGGGAGATGTTTGTCGACTTAGGCTCGTTTAGGGTAGACTTGTTCGTAAAAGTATTGTCTATGAGTTGTTGGAATTGATAGTTGATCGTGTACGTTCACTCTCTTGTTACGAAGAGTTATTGAGAGTGAACCTCTGGACGAGAAACGATTCAAGTCCTTTAACCGAGCAATTGATTGTCGGTAGTTGTGTTAGAACCAAAAGCAATTATCCCCGATTCCCTAGCTTCTCCATCTTTATTTCGTTTATCTTGTTGGGTAAATTCATGCTTTTTATTATTTCGTAGTAGATAGTTATTCAAACCCTTTATCTGATTAGCATGTAGGATTTATTTTGCTTTTATGTGTATCAATACCAAAGCTGAATTCCGAGCCGCCTTCCTCGTGAGATCGACCCGGGAAACGAATCTTTTGATTCGGTACTCGGTAAAAAGAATAATTTGTACACAATATTTCATATATACAATATGGATGTCAAATCGAAGATCGTCAAAAGATGATTAACTTGATATATTATATATGAAAAACCGATAAGAAATACAAAAATTATCAATTTTTAAAATATATTTACAATTCAATAGCTAATTGAAGTAAACAAATCAAAAGTTAGGGATATATTAGTCACGTAGCGTCTCACTATGTAAAATTACAAAGAATTAAAGGGTTTTATTAGTACAAGTGATATTAAAATACCTAAGTTAGCTAAATAATAATTATGGAATGTCGAACCTAAATTATTGATTATTAATATATCAATATTATTTGTCCAAACCTAATTATGAAGCATGATTATTCGCCAAGTAGGATTCCGAAGCACCAGAAACAGCCACGTAGGCTCAGCGTATTCGAGAATTATATATAGGGAGGATTTATCATTTAGGGAGTACACAAGTAGTATTGTTGATGCAGATGGTATGGAAAAGAGGGTTGGGATTTAAAGATCTTTACATGATGAATCAAGCCATGATTTCAAAACAAATATGGAGACTTCGTACCAACCCCAACCTCCTGGTGAGCAAAGTCCTGAAAGCTAAATATTTTCTCAAAGACAATTTTTTCTTGGTGAAAAAAAACGTTGAATAGCTCATGGATGTGGAATTCTTGGTTGATTGTAGAACCTCCACCAAAGCTGGTCTTAGATTTGTGATAAAAAATGGCAAATATGTAAGGATATGGGATCACCTGTGGGTCCAAATGTGAATAGCCCTAAACTTCTTTTCAATCATCCAGAGGCAAACCTTTTACTTGAGTGAAGGATCTCTTTGACAACACAGGTAGAAGATAACATTGACCTTATATTCAAAAGCTATTTTCAAGGGAGGTTTGTGCTGCCATCCTTAGAATCAAAGAGCTAGACTCCTGTCAGGATGACAACCAAGTAGGAGAGCATGGGAAGCTAGCAAAACTCACAGTCTTCTCAGTTTATGGGAAATTGGTTGATGAAAGTAGGAACTATGGGTGTGGCTGAAACAAGCAAGGGGCAAAAAGAGGCTAGTCTCACGAGGAAGATGAGTTAGAGCCTTAAAGTCAAAGACAAAATCAGACATTTCATCTGGAGAAGTGGAGTACCTGCATCCAGTGCTAACTAATCTGGCCAAATGAGGTATGCCAGTTGATCCTATTTGCAAAATCTGTGGTGAGACACAAGAATCTCAGGAACGTGTCTTCTTTTCCGGTCCAAGAGCTAAACTGATCTGGAAATCATCTTCCTTATGCTGGGACGATATGGAGCTTGAATCATGCAACTTCAAATTGTGGTCGTAAAAAATGTGCTTAATCCAGAAGTCTGGTAGTTTTTATTGACAGACTCCAACTTACTGCTTACTTTGGAGTATTTGGAAGTCAAGGAACCAAATTATTTTTCAAAATTTGTGGAGATCAGAAAAATCAGTAGTTTTTGCTGCTTGTGTTGATTGGATGGATTCTACAAGTCTAGTTTCTTAAGTGTTGTTGTTAGTTGCTCTGGGTGTTAGTGTTGTTTGGATAAGTTGCTGCCTTCTTGTTTTGTCCTTTTAGTTTAGTTAAGTTATTTGTTTATGGGGTTGTTTGTTTTTTGCTTGTGTTTGGGTTGGGATTCTCCCTTGCGGTTTTGACTAGGATTTTCGATCAGTGGTCAATACCTTTTAGTTGGTTTGGTTAGCTGGGATTTAATCACCGAACATCGGTCTCAGTAGCTTTTTCTTTGTCGACTGCTAGTTCGTTAATCCTCTTTTGAGCTTTTGTTTCGAGCATTATAGTTAGTGTTTCACTGTTGCCCTTTTGTTTCGGTTGTGTAGGGCTTCTTCGCTTTGTGTTTGTACATTATTCTTGAGCTATAAATTATATGGTTTGGTTAAAAAAAAGTAATAGTACAAAATAAAAGAAATCAAAGAAGTTGTACGTTTGTTCCGACAATTGCCCCCAGCGTGAGAAACCCCACCCCTAAAGCCCTCGCCAAATGGTACAACCCTCACTGCTACACCCATCACTTCGCCTCACTTAGGTTACAGCTCTCCTTCCCCAACTCCGTTTCTGTGGCCGCGCCTCCGTTCAGAGATTCTTAATTGCATTGGCTGGTTTCAACAATGGCGTCGAAATTCGGATTAGCGGGTGGCATCCCGGAGCGCCGTGTCCGACCCATTTGGGACGCCGTTGACTCTCGCCAGTTCAAGAACGCCCTCAAGCTCTCCACCGCGCTTCTTTCTAAATACCCCAAATCTCCTTATGCGCTCGTGGGTCCCATTGGCACTCACTGTTGTAGCTTTCCATTTTTATTATCTTGCTTTAATCGCACTGCGTTTGGCGATTTGTTGCAGGCGCTGAAGGCTCTGATTCTGGAAAGGATGGGCAAGAATGAGGAAGCGCTATCTGTTTGTTTAAATGCCAAAGAGATTCTTTTGACCAGTGATTCAAGCGTGTACGGGGATGATCTCACACTCAGCACGTTGCAAATTGTCTTTCAGCGCCTTGATCACCGTTAGTTTTTCTTTTTATCGTTATAGTCAGCTTGTTGTGGCGTCTTCTTTAGATGAATATGCGTTGAGGTGTTGTTGTGAAATCGCAGTGGATATGGCGACAAGTTGTTATGAGCATGCATGTATGAAATACCCCAACAACTTGGAATTAATGATGGGCCTCTTTAACTGTTATGTGAGAGAGTATTCATTTGTCAAGCAGCAACAGGTTGGTGGAATGCTTTTGCTGTGCCACATTTGTTCTTGTGCTAATGGCCTTATTATCTTTTAGCTATTTTGTGTTGTTTATTGGCCCTTACTGTATGTAGATAGCTATTAAAATGTACAAGATTGCTGGTGAAGAAAGGTTCTTACTCTGGGCCGCTTGCAGCATCCAGTTGCAGGTTCGCCTTCCTTCTCAGTTAATATAGTTTGTCCTGATTTTGGGGCACACTGATATGGGTCTATGACCTATTAGTCCACAGTACTTAAGAATTTGCCCCCATTATGAGTTAAAGGTTACTGGATCTATAAGATGCTGATACAAGCTAACTATACATTGATTGTCCCTGGTAACTATTTATAAGTTTGTTGCCTGAATCTTTTGTTGCTTGGAAACATCTTGTGGGCCTAATTAAATCAAGTGCCATCATGCCTGATCCCATTAAAACTAGATGAATCAGAGAATTGATTGAAATGCTAATAACTTATATTTGCCAATTATGGTACAGAAGAAGATCATCATATGATTAGGATTTGTTGAAGAATATATTTACTGGAATACTTACACCAATACTGCAGTGACCTGATCCCGTCCTTTCTCATAAAAATAATTGAAGAACCAAACAAATTTTCTGTTCACCATTCTAAGGTGCCCTATGTAACAAGAGTATCTTATTTTTTTTTAATAGGTAACAGGAGTATCTTATTTTCATATAAAGGATTATTGTCAAACACTGATATGTAAAATTATTGCAACACATTATTTGCAATGGATAACAGCTATCTCACTGGATAAGTCTCGGCTGCCGAGAATTGTTGAGCACGACGTATTTGGTAGAGATTGCTCTTTTATGCTTTGATGGAAGCTAGTTTGGCTGGGGAGAGATAGGATGATCATAAATAAAGATTTTGATTTTCTTATGTCACTAGTCCAGTTGATGTGAATATCTAAGATCTCTTTGAGATGAAATCACTGTTTTTTTTTTTTTTTTTTTTTTTTTTTTTTTTTTTTTTTTTTTTTTTTTTTTTTTTTTGTAATATTATTACTAATATTAAGGAGGGGATCCAGGATTTCTGTTTCAACAAAGTTGTTTAATTTAGTTTCATATATGTAACATACTTGATTGTCCATTGCAAATGGAGCTGGAAGAGTCATTGTTGACAATTCTCCTGGCATAGTGCTAATAATGGACTAGATCAAAATGGCTCAATTAAATTCTAGTGCTTCTTCTATTAGTGAAGTTTCTAGAAAAAAAATATATCAAACGACGCAATGCACCGTGGGTCGCTACGGAAACAATCTCCTTGTATAATATAATTACAAGGGTAAGGTTTGCGTACCCCCAACCCCAACCAGTTGGGAATATACTGGGTATGTTGTTATATGTAACATACTTGAGCAAGAGTACTCCACATATTTGGCGCTTAAACTGTCTTTGCTGCAGTAACCCAACTGGGGTGTAATTAATTTTCTATCTTGTAATTGACGTGGTATTTTCACTTATTTTAGCCTGTGACATACTTGGGCACGAGTACTCCACATATTTGGCGCTGAAACTGTCTTTGCTGCAGTAACCCAACTGGGGTTTAATTAATTTTCTAACTTGTAATTGACATGGTATTTTCACATATTTTAGCCTGTGAAAGCATCTGTATTTGAAAATGGAATTGACATGCCAAAGATCTTTGAATTTAATTATGTTTTCCCTTTGCGATGTTGTAAACCTAATTATAATAGCATATTTCTTCTGCTGATAATTGCAAGTTCTTAGGTTATCTTTTTGAACTCGACAGGTTTGCTGTGGCAATGGGGGAAATAAACTTTTCCAGTTAGCTGAAGGTTTGCTCAAGAAACATATTGCTTCGCATGGTTTGCATGAGCCAGAAGGTTATTCTACAACTTTTTCTTCTTCATCTTCTTTTTCCTTTTCTTCTTGTTCTAACTTTTATCAGTAGTATATAGGTAAGCTTGAGGAGATTTTCATTTTTGTTTGAAGGTTGAGCCACTAAAGTAAATTCTATGATGCAGCTCTTAGCGTCTATATATCTCTATTGGAGCAACAGTGCAAGTATGGTGATGCTTTGGAGATTCTTTCTGGAAATTTAGGATCTCTAATGATGATTGAAGTTGACAAACTACGTCTACAGGTACTTTGTAGGAAATTCTCTTATGGCAATGTATCTAAAGAGCTGCATCCTTTTATTTACATAATTACTAGTTAAGTGTGAAATTTATCTTTGATAGCTGTAAGATACACATCACTCTGGGCAAGTAGTTTTTGTGATTAAACATTTTTTCCGTTCAGTATTTTTGGTTGTATATTGCGTTAATGCAAATTTGTGTGCCAGTATTTTCTGTTAGTTTTTATTTAAGCCTGTTCATATTATTTTAAGTCGACAGGGAAGGCTTCTTGCTAAGGCTGGAGACTATGCTGCCGCAGCCGACGTATTTCAGAAACTCTTAGAACTCTGGTATGCCTTTTACACTGTCAGTTTGGTGGATGATTTTAGTCTCATTCGTTCTGTTTTGTATTGCCAATACTTTCTTCACCAGTCAACATGTGCAAGCTGTGTTTGAGTTTCCATCTTTCAATATTATGCTATGGCACTAAGCTTGTACTTTGATGTATTAAATATTTATGCTTGGATATAAAATTTTTTGGTTTTGTTTGGTTATTTTTTAAAAAGGTGGTATGGTTAGTTGTTGGTGGGTATATTAAAATAATATTTAAAATAAAATAATTAAAGTTGATTTGATGTAAAAAGTAAGAGAGAGAAGTTGAAGTGATTGTTAATTAAAATTATGTGAGTGGATGAATAGTGAATTAAAGATGATGTGTTGTGTAAGAATGATTGATTGATATTATTTAATTATAGTAAAATATTGATGATAGTGGGATTGAGTTAAAGTTGAGTAAAAAAAAGTGGATGAGTTAAAAATGATTGGATTTTTTTTGAGATAGTTTTGTATCCAAGCATCCTCACTCGTGGAGTTTATGTGGCATCAGTTGGATGAAAAATTTATGAAAACTTTAAGTCTGAGTATCATTGGAGTTTTACCTGTAAATATATAGATGCAGATTTTATGCTTCATTTTTGGTATTTGCTATAGGTAGGGCTGTAAACGAGCCGAGCCGGGCTCGAGCCCTTATCCATCCGAGCCGAGGTCGAATCGTTAAATAGACGAGCCAAAAATCAAGCTCGAGCTCGAGCCTTAACGAGCCGGCCTCGAGCTCGAGCCTTGACGAGCCAAACTATAGTAAATTATATAAAAATTCCCTTTTCGAGCCTTATCGAGTCGAGCCGAGCTCGGATCGTTAAGGCCTCAAGCTCGAGCCGAACTCGAGCCGAGCCGAGCCAGACTCGTTTAATTTAACAACACTAGTTATAGCAAGGTAAAACACTGATCATTGCAGTTATTACCGATATTAGAACTAAAGATGTTAATTTGAATATGACTTTATCTCAAAAGTGGAAACTGAACGTATGTAGAAACCTAAAGATTTATTTGGCTATGTTTGCACTGGAACATTTTGAGATTCTTGATGTTTTGTCTTTTCTCAAATTTAGTGGTAATAATCTCACTGCATGAATCTAAATTGAATTTTAAATCTTAATAGCGAACTTTATAGACCCATTGTTTTCATCTGGAAGTGTAGCAGATTCTAGAAGATGCGATTGGCCTTTGCTTAGGCCTTTGGCAGTATGCAAAGTCATGATTTATGTTGTTTGAACCTTGTTTAACATTATGCTAATTCTTGTATTTTTGTGCAATCTCATTTTCAAGTTACCATTTCATCATCTTTTTTGGTGCTATCGGTACAAATTATATTTGATATTTGATAATTTTTACTTTCCTTTGTTCTTAGTCCTGGTGACTGGGAATGCTTTCTGCAATATATTGGCTGCCTTCTGGAGGACGCCAGCATCTTTGTCAAAGAGGCAGATCCCGTGAATATACCAAATTCTATCCGGTGCACGAATTTGCAAATATCAGAGGAACATGTAAATTGTCACTTCTCCATTTAAGTGCTTAATTACTTTTCTACGGGGCTTGACTTGTTTAGTTTCTGTATGCAGTTTGATTCTCGAATGTCAGATGCAGAGAATTTCATACAGAAACTAATGGTTGAGGAAATTAATAAATCTGAAAGATGCCTGTATTTGGCACGCCTTGAAATTGAAAGACAAAAGATTCTGTTTGGGAAAGGTGATGCTGACAATGTAGTGGAGGACCTAATGCAATATTTTGTCAGGTATATTTTTACCTGATAATTGTGCCTGTATTGAACTGCTTTGTTGGCACCTATACTCGTGTTCATTGGATTATTTGCACTTAAATGCTTTGCATCACTCTTTCTCAATTTTTATCTTAGTCTTCTATGTAAATATGCGGGTGCTGATCTAACTTTATCATGGTGGCTCACTGATGTTTCAAGCCGTAAGCTTTCTGAGAAAAAGGTTCCATTGTGACTACTATGATATCAGTCTATAAATAAATCAAGACATGGGACTTTAACACCAAGTTCAACCAAACATTTTCAAATATACGAATGTAGAACAAGGGAAATGCTAACTTTTTAGTTGCTGCTAAGTTACATTTAGTTAATCTGATATGTATATGTAATCATTTCATGACACTTTCTGGTTATTCTTCTTATAATCATGTTATTGACACATGATACTCTGAAACAGATTTGGCCACTTGGCATGTTGCACTTCAGATGTTGAGATGTTTCTTCAAGCTCTCGATAATGATAAGAAAAGTGAGTTTTTGAAGAAATTAGTGAAGGAATATGAAGCTAGTGTTAGTGCACCAACTAAAGCGCTTGGACAGTCCATAACTATATTCAAAGTCCAGAACATCATTGGTGATATGTTTGCTCTACAAGTGGATGGTATGTGAACTTTTGTCAATTGCCTTTTAAAAGGCGTTTCATACTTTTGAAGCACTTCTTCAAAAGAACTTGCGTGCTGTTATATAAATGCTTAAAAGACAGACAATTAATCCTGTCAAATTTTATGTGTGCTGATGCCTTTGGTGGCAATTATAACTTACTTTAATTGTATTTGATAGAACTCGAGGATATTGCTGTAAGAATGGCTGAAATGTTCTGTACGAATCTTCCACTGTCAAAAGAGTTAGATGCACAGGAGAGTATGCATGGTGAAGAGCTTTTGTCGATGGCATCAACAATTTTGGTTCAGGTATTACCTTATGTTCCACAAATTTGTATTCCTCTCTAATTGTATTAGCATCATAAGGGCCAAGAGGAGACATGATTGGAACCCTATTATGAAAATTTGATTTTCCATGATAAATTGCTGAAGTGGTATATCTGTGGTCGGTCATCCATTCATCATGGTTTAGCTGGTTGATTTTGATTTCGAGTTCTGCAATTCTTATCATGCTCAGCATTTGGAGATGTGATAATGCATGGATTTAATGAAAGTAACCTTTTGTAATGTTAATGATTATGATGAAGGTATTCTTTCCAGACAGTCTACAGCCTGGATGTATACCTTATTTGTTTTTGGTATTTTGGAATATTATGCTTAAATTGTGTTGGTATTTGTTTGGAATTGTGACTATTATCAATAACCAATTCATTTGAAAAGACCCAGCATCACTTTAGCTGGCATATTCACCTGTTTTGAAAATCCACATGTATTTTACTTCATCATACTGGTTTGGATATGGATGATATGTCGTATAACTTCTATGATCTTTCTTTTCATCTGGTGAAAATTATGTTTTGTTTGTTATTGTGGAGGCCCTGTGATTTTTTAAGATTTGCAAGTTATGTTTCAATTGATACCTTTTCCATCCTTCATTCTTTTTTTTTTTTTTTAATTTAATTTTAATTTTGTTGCTTAGCTTTTCTGGCGTACGCGGGATCTCGGATATTTGTTGGAGTCTATTATGATTCTGGAGTTTGGTCTGACTATCCGGAGGTTAGCTGTTCCTTTTGCTGATTGATTGATTGGTACATCAATTCAGTTGATTTTGTTCTCTCTCTCTCTCTCTCTCTCTCTCTCTCTCTCTCTTTGTGGTGACTGAATTACTGAAAGGAAAAGTGATTCTATTTCTAAATGAGTGCTTATAGATGTGAAAATGATGAAAGGAGTAATTTTGAGAAATGGTTGCATGGGGATATCATTCTTCAGTTTTCATATGTTTTACTGATGTGTATTCCATAATGTCTGGATGATTGCATGGTTCATGAATAATTTGTCGCTTGTGACGTTTAGAGAAGTCACTTGCCTTAGGAGTTAAGAATGTGGAGGTCACTTGCCTTGGGAGTTAAGAATGGACATTACTGTGTCGGTAGTCACATTGCCAAACAAAATTGAAGGTAGCAAAATTATTGCACCAATGTGCTTGGATGGATGCACAGTATAATCTGCTATTTATAATCATAGTGGCATGGATCTCTTTTCATGACAACAGTTTTTATTTCATGATGTCGTCTGGAATTTGGAAACATTGCTTTATTCGGGAGAATCAGCATTGCAGGATGCATCTAACCAATCACTGTGATGATGTCATTTTCTGAATTAAGAATTCTTGTGTTAAATGTTATTCGGTTTTTCGAACACACTACGTAGAGCAATTAATAATGAATCATTGGGTGGCATGGGGAAAGTACTCCATCGAGTTCAGTACATGAAAATACTTGATCGTCACGTGTAGAGGAATAATTGCTTCAAGCGGAGAACTTTCAAGTTCTTTTCCTGAAAAGTGAGGATAAGCTGGAATAAATCAGAATTTTTTCTTCTATGATTGATGGGAACACTAACAGCCAGGGTCTAATTTATTGACAATTCGGAATATTTGGGTTATAAAAGTAGTGTAAAATATCTACATATCTTACCGCAGTGAGCAGCTGAAAATCTAGTTACACTGGTTAGTCGTGATGTTCTATAGTGCCAAAGGGTCGTATTCGTTCTGTTTATTTTGGAGCATCCATTGACACGCACTAGGGCTAGGCTGGTTTATTCAAACCGTTTTTGTGGATTTGAAATTGTGTTTCCTTGATATAACAAGTTTTAACATAGCATAATGTAGGCAGGCAGTTTCTGCTGAAATCTGCTAAACATTGTTGGAAATCTCCGCAACATGCATGTAGCATATGAGAAATATTGAAGTACTCCATTTTAAATCTGACAATTTTTGCTGTTTCTTGCAGATATGTCTGGCAATATAAAGTTTCATTGGTGCATCTGTATTCTTATTGGAATTCTCTTCCACTAGCTTATGAACGGTAAAATAGTAGGCAGAAATCTAATCCTTTTATTATTGCTCTCTCTCAATTATTATTTTCGATGGTTATTTTTCTGGTTACTGTTTTTGTATCCTAATTTTGAGTCCTTTTCGTCTTTTTAGCTATAAGTCCTTGGATGTGAAGAATATTTTACTGGAGACGGTATCACATCATATTTTGCCACAGATGTTGTCATCGCTTTTGTGGGCAGATACAAATGATCTTTTGAGGGAGTATTTAAAGTTCATGGATGATCATTTCAGAGAATCGGCTGATCTTACTTTCCTTGCATATCGCCATAGGAACTATTCAAAAGTAAGTTATATGCTTTCAAATGTGCTATTTTTCAGTATTTTAACACTATTGTGAAATACTAGTTGGTATAGACATATAAATATATCATAACTCTGCTAACTTGAGTCGCGTTTAGTGATATGCTATCATTAAACTGTTCTGTTGATCTTCTCTCGTCAACAATTAATTATTTAGATTATGATAACAATTTCATGGTTAAATTACGGTGTCTTGGCTGAATGTGCCATGTGAAAGAAAATAATTCATGTCCCTTACCTTCTTAGGCGATCGAATTTGTGCAATTTAAGGAAAGACTGCAGCGCTCAAGTCAGTATTTGATGGCGAAAATTGAATCACCTGTTTTACAGCTGAAGCAGCACTCTGATAAAATTGATGAAGAGGAGGTATCTTTGTAGTGCCTTTGTGCTTTTTCCAGTTATTTCAAGGTCATCCGACTAACATTGTCTTATGAAATATTCATGAACATAATATATTTGACAGCGTATCCTGGAGAGTTTGGGATTTGGAATTCACTTTGTGGAGCTGTCAAATGAGATCAGAAGCAAATCATTGACTTTTAATGAAGACTTGAAGCTGCGACCTTGGTGGACTCCGACTTATGACAAAAATTATCTCCTGGGTTAGTAGCGGCTCCCATCAAAATTACTTCACATAACAAATTTGTAACTATAGTAATTGTTCCATTGCTTTGTCTATGTACTTAATATTTCCTGCTGGTGATAATTTTTGCCTTGGATAAAATTTTCTGGTTGTGTCAATTAGCCTAAGTTATCTTGTCGGAATGCTATCATGTTGCTTGCTTGTTTTCATCAAATACTACATCTAATGGCAAATTTTCCGTTTCTCCAGGACCCTTTGAAGGAGTCTCCTATTGCCCCGCAGAAAACATGGTAATATTGACTATCGACTTCACGTTCAATATATTTCTAGAGTTTAATCTTTTACATGCATTCTGGAGTAAGTTACAAGTTAAATTTATATTGCATCCAATCTGAATGCATCAAGAAAAAGTAACATTACAACAAATTACTCCTTTGGAATAATGCTCTTAGGTGTAAGGATGTTGATGGTGTAGTGGTTTTGTATTTGTACGTTTTTAGGTAAAAAAATAAAATATTGGATTTGTTGTGGGATCCTAGCTATGACTTATTTTCTTGTTAGTTGCTTCCTTATTTTTTTGTGTGATGCTGACTCAGCTAATAAGACGGGCCTTTTGTGCGTTCACGACGTTTTAACTCTGAATCTTTGTCAAATTGGAATAATAAAGCAATTTTATTGTCACCATGTTTTTTGCAAAGAGTCTTTTGGTCTTTGCTCTGTGTTTTGGTTTCTTTTCTTACTGCTTCATTTTCTGGGAAGAGGTTTTCTTTCGAGTTCCGGATATCTTTTCTGTTTCTCATTGCTGGCAGTATCTAGACTTGATATCTTCTTGAATTGATTAGAAATTGTTTTTGTTCCAAGACATTACAAGTTGATTAATAAGTATCTAATTGCAGCACAATCAGATCAAGCAAACAGAGGCGAATGTTATAAAAACCATAGAAAAGAGGTCTCTGCTTCCTCGGATGATCTATTTGTCAATGTATTCTGCTTCATCGTCAGTGAAGGAAACTATTGAAGCCAACGGGTCGAGAGTCGATCCAAAACACTCGTTGGAACTGAAAATCTTACTTGAGCGCTATGCTAGTATCCTGGAATTTCCTTTCCAGGATGCTGTAGAATATGTTTTTGTGGTTTTAAGTGGCACCACTTCTTTGAAGGTATGTTCTTTACATAATACAGTGAACTATCCTATTATTTTGGCTTTTTTCACTTTAGTGGCATCCATAGCTCAGCCATAGACATCTTTTAGGTTTGGACGAGGCAATAGTTTTTTTTTCTTATTTTACCTTTTGTTTTTGCTCCTTTTTCTGCTTCATAGAAATAGCTCAGCAAGAATCAGTGATAGAAGGAAAAGAAATGATGACGTTGAATCTTCATGGAACATCTTAAGGAAAAATGCATATTATTTTCATTAGTTAATGAAAAATCATTGTCAGTATATTATTGGTGTTAGGGAACTGATGCATTTTCCTGACCTTGATTTGGTGTATCTTCTAGTAAATATATTGAACTTTAATGCGTTTCTACTATGTGGTAATATACATCAAAGTGTTTGAAGGTGTTGTAATTCTGATGCAGCACATGAAAGGCATTCTATAATATTTGCCTAGATTTGAAAAATCAAGTTTTCATTTTGTAAATGCCAAAGCACAAACTTCTCGTCAATCCACAAGACTCGCCTTGTGTTGGCCAGCTATATATCTCACATCATCTGTGGGAGGAAAGTATAGCAGTCTGGAGACCTTACTAGCTCACTTAGGCGGATTGGTCCCCACTACCACCAAATTAAAATGAAATCAAATTAAATATTAGATAATGATGTCTTGATATGGTTCAAATCTTTCTGGTCCATTTGGCTAATAACCCAACACTATTGACATGGCTATTTATCTTTATTTAATGTTTGTAGCTAATTAACAATGTGCACTTACAGGCACCAAATCCTGATATCATTGACTGGATGAATTTTGCCGTTTTCTTGAATGCTTGGAATCTAAATTCTCACGAGGCCAAATCCTCTCAAGACAAATGTGGCCCAGGCTCTAGCAGTACTTGGAAACTTGTGAATAACCTGCTGAGCAAATATGTTCTCGAGACGATTAAATCCGCGGGACCCACAGCTTCTGCTCCGGGTAATGATATCTCGTTTCTTGCTCAGCTGGTGACCGAGCCCTTAGCCTGGCATGCCCTAATCATCCAATCACGCGTTCGGTCATTGCTCCCTTCGGGGAAAAAGAAGAAGAAAGGTGGGCCCGTGGAGCAATCGAATTCTCAGCTAGTGAACGAGATACAGATCTCAATCGGCTCCTTATGTGATACGCTGGAGGTTGTGACAAAATGGTTGAAAGAACAACTCGACAAACTTGATACCGAATTTGATCCCATATTTTCTTCCATTCAGAGTAAGGAAAGGCAAAGTGGACCCGGGAAAGTGTTCAATATGGTCGAGTCTTGCCTGACACGGGTGGACAGTGTCGAAGTTGGTGATAGGATTTTCGAGGCTGTACAGTCGTGGAGTCCTGCCGAGGTTGTCCGGAAGATTACTGCTGGTCAGGGCAGTTTACTTTCCGAGTTCCTCAAAATATGCGAATCGAAGATTAAGTTTTTGCAGGGGCTTAGGCTTCAGTTGTAGGTCGATAACTTGTGGGTTAATTTGTGGAGCTCGGTTGAATTCTTGTTTGTTTGTTTGTGCAACAACCATTTTCAACCCTTTTTGTTGTTGCAATTCTTTTGTAGCTTGGCTTTTTCTTAGTAGTTGTGCTACTATTTTGATCTGAATTGCCAGAAAATTGAATGACATATAGCTTTTGCCTTTTGAGATTGGTCAAGAATTTGCTTGTATTGTAACTTTGTGTTCGTAAGTTATTATATTTGTTTTGTTTTTGGTATTCAAAAGTGAATTGAGTATAGTAAGGTGTGGTGCTTAGTTAGTTAAATTTTTTCGAAGATTGTGAGGTTTTGGAGGCACATATGTGGGATTTAAAATTCTGTACTTGGTAAATTTGAGAAGAGGAGGAAAAAACCTATGGTCCGAGTGATTAAGAGAGCGGTTTCGTTGGAGCCGAGCAGAATATCTCATGTTCGAGTTCGTGTTTGTTTCATAAACGAGTCAAAGGCTCGGGTTGGCTCGACGAATTTCATTTAAAATTTATAATAAAAAAATAAAAAATAAATAAACAAAAACAAGTTGTTCACCATCAAGTTTAGCTTGACTAGTTCATATGAACTCGACTCGTTTAATTAAATGAATTGAGTCGAGCTCGAGATTTCACGAGCTGAATCGAGTTGTATTCATAAATAGCCCGGTTCGTTTAATAGCTCTAGATTGATATTATTTCTTAAAAAAGAAAAAAAAAAAATGTTTCCTGCAATGAAATATTAGAGTAACTGTACAGTCTATATAAGCTTTGTTTATACCAAGAACTAGAACTGGTAACTACTATTTGACCTGCTTAAGTGAAAAGAAAGAAAAAAACACCACAAACTTCACCTAAACACACTATAATTTATTCCTTCACCTAATCACACCACGTTACTGAACCCTAATTCTATTTGTTGACAATCTAATCACCTTCTTTCTCAATAAAAGTACAATTGTTCATAGCATAAATCTGTAGGCAAAATTGTATTTTTAGTCCTACTAGTATAACGATGTAGCATTTTTTAGTTTCAAGATTTCAACATTTTGTCTTTTGATCCTATAATTTAGTATTTTGCTTCAATTTCAGTCATTCGGGACTGAAATTGCAACAAAATTTAAAATTACAGGACTTTATTTGCTAATAAAAAATACATCCAAAAGATTTTTTATTAGCAATTAAATCCTGTAATTTAAGTTTTGTTGCAATTTCAGTCCCAAAGGACTAACAATGCATTGAATTTTAATATCGTATGACCAATAGCAAAAATGTTCAATTTTTAAGACAAAAAAGGCCACTGGATCATATCAAGAAGACAAAAATTGTAATTTTGCCTAAATATATAGGCCGTCTATTATTATTATTATTATTATTATTATTATTATTTGTTTTTTTTTGTTTTTTTTTTTTTAAGAGACAGTATTCTTGTATTATGAAGGCCCTTTGTACTCTTTTTTTAGTAGGATTAATGCCAATAAATTCCTAACAAATAAAATCAGAGTCATGACTTCAACTCCAGTCAAAAAGATGATGAAGAAATTAAGGTTTGTTTCAATAACTAGGATTATAGTATTTAACACAACATGTTGTGATTTTTACATTAAAAAAAAAAAACATGATTTACTAAATTTATTTTCAATACTTTAATCACAAATTATTATTTTTTTATATTTTTGGGACAACAAGGACAGAAGTTGATCAGACCTACAAATGCATGACTTTCATTAATTACATTTTTATAATTAATTAACTGATCAAACCAGTGGATGCACCAACTCTTTAGTGTAGTTGGACTATGTTTTTGACACTTTTAACTTGCCATTTTTTCTGTCTCAACTGCTTCAACCAAAATGTACAATTTATTTATTTATTTATTTATTTTTTATTTTTTAAATAATACTAAATTTCATGAGTTTCAATTGTGAACACACACAAATCCCAGGGGTGGTTTAGTAATTATCCTTGTAAACAAAAAGAGTAGTTAATCTTTTCTTTCTGGAGATGCTACGGTTCCGTTATGGAACCATTCCGTCGGGGTATGTAACCGTTAGATCAACTATCTCTGATGGTTACATGATGATCTAACGGTTACAAACCCCGACAGAATGGTTCCGTAACGGGACCGACCGTGACATTTCCCTTTCGTTTAATCCCTTCTCATTGTTAGTATAAATACATAAACCCAGTCATTACAACCTTAATCCCAAAAACTAGTCAATATAACAACAAACTGAAGCAAAAATACCTCAGCCAAGAAGATGAATGCTGCTACATTCTTACTTTCCCTTTTAAGCATATTACTCTCTTTTGCTCATCCTTTAGCCCATGCAGAGACTCATTACCATGACTTCACTGTAAATGAATCTCCAAAAAATTAAAAAAAAAAAAAATCATATATATTTTTTTTTTTTTAATTTCCCATATTTTCTCTCTACTTGACTAACTGTTTTGCCACCTGAAACAGGTCGAACAAACATCGATAACGAGGCTTTGCTCGACTCGCAACATAATCACGGTAAACGGGCATTTCCCGGGCCCTACAATCGCAGTTCGAAACGGAGATTCGTTGGTCATTAAAGTCACCAACAGGGCTCCGTACAACGTTACTCTCCACTGGTATAACACGTAAAACAGAACGAAAAAAAAGCGATCATCCAATGTTATTTTGATTACTTCTATTAAGGCTATTAACAGAAATGTAAAAAACAACTTGTACTGATTATCATTCATCAGGCATGGAATACGTCAGATGAGGACTCCGTGGGCCGATGGGCCCGAATATGTGACCCAATGCCCGATAAAGCCCGGCTCGACTTACACGTACCGTTTCAAGATAGAGGATCAAGAAGGCACGTTGTGGTGGCACGCGCACAGCAAATGGCTAAGAGCCACGGTTTATGGGGCGCTCGTTATATACCCCAAGTTGGGAGCCTCATATCCTTTCCCGTCTCCCAAAATCGACATGCCTCTTATTCTTGGTAAAAACTTAAAACATTACTACTAATTGTGTGATGTTTGTTTCATTTGTTTTCCGATTTTTCGTTTCAGTAGGGGTTTAACTAACGATGGTCCAATATGCCGAGCAGGGGAATGGTGGGACCGGAACATTGTTGACGTTTTAAGACAGGCGCTGTTTACAGGTGCTGCTCCGAATATTTCAGATGCATACACGATTAACGGGCAACCAGGCGATCTATACAGATGCTCGAGCCAAGGTGAGGTCAAAATGGTTTAGCTCTTTTGTGAGATTTTTGGATATGAAAATTGTGAAAACGCATCTTTTTTTTGTTCACAACAAAACCATCCTTGCTTTTCACAATCAGAAGAACGAACAATGGCTCGTATGACGATTGCAAGGACGTCGTATTTTTTGCAAAGCGAACACTGATAAAAGTAGTAGCTTTGTGAATTTCTCTTGAATGAAGTAAACTAAGTGTTTGCAATCAAGAAAATGAGACACTCTAAGGCGAAAATCATGTCTTAGCAACTTGCGCTTCGCATGCAAGCTTTTAGATTCTGATTCTACTCGTTAAGTTTCGAGTTCGACTCTGCTCTTTTGATAAATGAGCCGAGCTTGAGCCCATTTAAAGCTCAATTGGTTAACGAGCTGAGCTTGGTTGGCTCAACTCGATAAGGCTCTAAAGAGGTTTATATAATTTTTATAGTTCGGCTCAATAAAGTTCGAGATCGGCTCAAACTCGACTCGCTATTAGTGATAAACGAGCCGAGCTCGAGCTCGATTTCAAGCTCGTTTGTTTAACGACCTCGAGTCGAGCACCATATACTCGAGCTCAGCTCGATTCGGTTACATGCCTGTTGTATTTTACAGAAACTAACAATCAATTCTATTGCAAAAAAAA